TAAGTACTAATTTTTATATTAGTACTTTGGTCATTTTATGCAGTAATGTATTTTTGTATTTTTTATAATAATGTTATCTTCTCAAGAAGCCGCCCGGTTGATGTGAATGAATCATTATAGTAGTGGAAGGCTGGAAGCTGGTGGGCTCTCTCTCTCTCACAATTATTTATTCAATGGTCAGTGCCTACATTGTCAATAAATATACTGATCACCGTTGGAATAAATTTAATTAATTAATATGTGGATGTGTATTAATTAATTATTAGATAAATTGGTAATAAAAACCTAGTTGAAACATAAATTGTTCTCAAGGACTAAGTAAAATTTAAGGACTCTAATATTTTATTCATAAAGCACTCTATTTAATTGACTAAAATGTTTTTGTGGTTTCAGCTCTCTCACTCTTCTATTCTCTCCCCCCTTCTCCATTGATGATGTCCTCCATCTATAACAGCCAATCCATCATTGCAAGAGCCGTACACTATTATAGGATAGGATTTTAATAGCGGGTAAAAAATACTTTTAACAACAGTTCTGCAACTGCTGTTATTTCAGGAGATGTTAAAAGCATGTTACTTTTAAAATTGGTTGGACAACCACTGTTAAAAATAAACTTTCAATAACACGTCTATGTCTACTATTGAAAGTTGCTCGTTGAATTTTTTTTAAAGACTTTTAACATTGGTTAAGGCAAAAATTGCTGTTAGAAGTGCACTTTTAATAATGGTTATGGCCATAATCGTTGTTAAAAGTGATTTTTTTTAGAAAAATAATAATTTTGTTTCTACTTATTTTCTCAATTTCTCAAATGAAAATATTCTATACAATTTATATAAGTTAGAGGGGGGGAGGGGATAGGGGTGGAGGGCAAGAGGGTGATAGGGGAGGGAGGGGGGCTGATGGGGGAGGTGAGGGGGTGGGGTGACTGTGGAGGAGGGGCAACAAGGTAGGGGGAGGGGAGGGGAGGGGAGGGGGTAGGGGTCAACAGGGTAGGTGTGGGGGAGGAGGAAGAAGATGATAAATAATGAAGAAGGGGGGCAGGTTACAATGTAGGGGAGGTATGGGGGGGAGGAAAAAGATGATGAATAATGGAGAGGGAGCAGTTTTTTTTTATGTAAATTTGAATCAGCAATAGCCGATGACATCACCTGCTGTTGAATATTTAAAAATTTTATTTTTTTTAAATTCTTGCTTTCAACAGTGGGTGGCTCCACTTGCTATTGAAAATTCACTTTCAACAACGGGTGAGGACCACCCGCTGTGGCAAGTAGAAATTTTTTATTTTTTTTAAATTCATCCTTTCAATAAAGGGTGGAGCCATTGGCTGTTGAAGGTTGCAATTTTTTATTTTTTTAAATTCCTACTTTCAACAACAAAAAGTCCTATATTGGCTTTAATATTACAAAAATGCTACCATCTTTACTTTCAACAGTAGGTTCATTTTAATCGATGTTAAAAGTCTCACGTAAAATATAAATTATGCATTAGTGGTAGACTTTGTCAGAGAAGCTTGTCATCATTGACACCTCATAGGAGAAGTTCATCGCCATTATAGATCTAGATTTTGGAGGTATAAATTGCTATTTAGGTTATCAAGAATCACATTTCAAATGTTCAAATGCCCTTCTCCAGAATATGTGAATTGATTTCTTGTTCTATTTGTTTATTTCTTTTTTTCCTATATTTTGAAAAATTTATAGTTGGTTGCTGTAGAAGGTATGAAGAGATAGTCAACTATGAATCATGAAGAATGATAGGATGTAGGATATTAATGTCTTTGCAATTTAAATTTTATTTACCATGGGGTTCAGTTGAATTCACTTACTACTTCCATTAGTAGGAGAGACTTTATGATTTCTTTGTTTACTATTCCATGTTTCCTCACTGATAATCATTACCTAAAGAGCCTTACAATATTAAAATATCCCCCTGTTCTTTGAGCTTATGTCTTTGTGATTTTATGTTCTTCCATTATCAAAGTTTTAAAATTGCTCTACATGAAGTTTAATAATTATATCATTATAGTTCTACTTAATATTTTTCCTTTTCTTTATGCCAGGAACACAAAATGATAGCATCCTTTCTTACTAAGGTGCTTGTTTATGTTTTATACCACCCTAACCTATCATCTTTTATAATGCTAGAGGTTCAATTTGTAATATTCAAAAATTAATATATTTTCCTGTGTTGTTAGGATGATTTTTGGCTATGCTTATCCATCCTATGAATGCTACAAAACTATTGAAAAGAATGAGCCAAAAATTAAACAACTTCATTTTTGGTGCACATATTGGTATGATATAGATTTGTTATTTGTATCCCCTATTAGTATAAATATTGTAATAAGAAAAGAAAAAGAAAAAGAAGGGATGAACACTAACCCTATGATACAGAGACTGATGCTTGTGATATAAAGATCCTTCTAAGACTACAGAATGAATAGTTCAAATACACAAGTCTTTGTCTTTAAGGAATTTATATACATGGTTTCCCAACATTCATGTGTTCTTTTATTGAATTTTTAATCTTGTGTAGACGAGTAGAAGGCCATATTTTTGTTCATTTAATGTCACTATTGCTTTAGGTCTCCACTTCCTGACTTGTTAGCAATATTAGAAACTTCAAATATTATTTTTACTGATTTACTTCACTGCCATAGAAGGAGTACAACTTTGCAAAGCTACTTTAAGTCTACTTTATTTCATATTATGTTATTAATATTTTTTAAAGCTGAATGGTTGATGAGCCTAAAGTGAATATTATTATAGATTTTAGTTATGAACCATATAGTGCAGTTCCTTTCATTATCTTCTACACATGTTGAGGAAAGAATTGTAGGGTGAAGGAAGTTCTTCATGATTTGGATGTAGCACATGTTGTGGACTTGTGGTTCATTATAAACTAGACTATTATTTAAGCATTGCATATGATGTCTCTTCATTCATGGTTTGTAAAGGTTTTGTAGAAAAACCGATAAAGGTATAAAATTCTAACACTTAATTTTGAAATCACTGGGAATAGTAGACAGAAATTTCTAGTAATAATAATGAGCAATCAAACATTTAAAGCTAATTTTTTTGTTTTCAAATGCCAGCTCTAAAACATGTGTTTTGAAGTTTGAGACAAAGCAGCAAACACAAAGGCACAAAGTAGCTGTAAGGCTAATTGTTAATCATGTGTTTCACTTGCCTTTTTATTAGACCATTCTTTTGAGTCTTTTACCATTAAAGGTTATAGTCTTGGCCTATATTATGTTCCAAATTCATGGTTGATTCTCAGATGTGGTTAAAGTTCATACTTTACTCTATTATAAATCTATATTAATATGAGCCAAAAAATTCTTATATAAGTTGTGAGCATGACTGATAGCCAATTTTACATATGATCCTTGGCAGATTTCATGTAATTCAAACACTTAGAGAGCACACCTCTGTGAGTAGCCGATTATTACATGAAAATGGATATGGTTTACATGTAAATCAATAGGTAGAGAAAGTCACAAGCATAACTAATAGCTAATTTTACATGTAATCTTTGGCAGATTACATATAAATCAAATCACATAAAGAGGACACCCCTATAAGTGCCAAAAATTACATGAAAACATATACGGTTTACATGTAAATTAATAGGTGGAGAAAGTCATTAGCAAGACTAATAATGAATTTTACATGTAATCCTTATAATCCTTAAGGATTATATGTAAATTAAATCACATAGAGAGGACGCCTCTATGAGTGCCAAGAATTACATGAAAAACGCATATGATTACAAGTAAATCAATAAAGCAAGCCAGACCCCTTGCATTCAAGTCACTCCTCAAGCATCATAAGCCAAAAACCTTACACTCTAGTCACAAGCCTTGTACCCAAGCTAGAGCACTTGCCCCTTAAGCTAAAAGCCTTGCATCCTAAGCAAAAAACAAAATTGAGAGAGTGATTACCACTTGAGAATGAATATCCAATAGATTTTTTTTTTTACCAACAATGTTTAATAGATAATTAAAGCATCAAGCTTCCTCGCCGATGTTGTATATAAACAAATTTCTCTTTTGAGGGAGACTTGTCGGTCTCAAATATAAGAAAAAAGTATTATTTACCCACTTTATTTAAGATGTCCTTCCCTAATTGTGTCCTTGTTTGATAGGATGAGGAAAGAAGAACATTATAGAGTTATCCCTCCATCTTTATTTATAAAAGAAAAAAATTATCATACAGTTTAAAAAAATCTACTAACAATATTAATTGCATCTAAAAATAAAAGAAGTGAACTACAATACCCTTTATTAATTGTATTAATCAAGTCTTCACTAATTATTTCTTATGACTACAAATGATAAAATTATAAGGGATAATTCAAAAAGTTTGCAATAAATGCCTACTAAAAAATTTGATTTTACTTATATAAAAAAAACTAAAAATGATAATTTCTTTTATAAATAAAAACGTAGAGAGCAGTTGAAAATATTTTCTGCAATAAACGAAGGTATTACAGAAAAGGAAAATCAATCAATTTTATGTATTTCAATTATCACCAAAGGAGAGGAACACGCTATAGACACTTCACCTGCAGGTATCGGTGATATGAATTTTCCATGATTTGACTTTGCCTTGACAAATTTTGACCGAAGTCCTATTTAGTACTTTCTGTATTAAATTATAGATCACTTTTGACAAAAAAAAATTTGTCATGAAATATAAAACACTTTAGTCGATTAATATTTTATTAAATACATTAATTTTAATATTACTCTTTTACTTTTTATAATTAATTTTTGTCCCTTCTTTTTTTAATGTATTAAATGATGGGTATTTTTAAAAATTTATAATTTTATTTTGTAAAGATAAAATTATTAAGTGTATGTAATGATATTTATTGATATGTAAAATTTTATTTAAAAGTATTTTATAATTTAAAATAAACGGAGTATTTAGTTTTAAGTGATTCAAACAAGGGTCTGGTCAAACATTTAGTTTCATCGCAATACAACATGTTTGCGCCTACTAACAAATAATTCAAGGGACTTTGTAAATTAAACAACATTACATTATTCATCGTCTTTTTTCCACTGCCACTAATTCCCATACTTCGCCTTATACTCATTCCATAGTTGATCAACACTCTTCCCAAGTAGCTCAGCAAAGAACTGATCACTGTAATCATTTCTCATCTTCTTGTTCAATTCAGCCACAAACCCACTTCTCAAACTCTCACAGTAATCTAGAAAATGAGCCGTAACATCATACCCATGATCCCACCTATCTCCCTCACCTGCCTTCACCCAGTGGCTCGGTCCGTACCCTGCTTTTAGCCTCACAAAATCAGCAACCCCTTCGATCAACCCTCCATTAGCCTCACCTTTCCCATTCCACTGCCACACATGAGTCATCTCATGATACAGCACGCCACTTACTTCTCTTCTCACATCTCCTGAATAGTTCCCGACGTATCTTGCACTTAAGTGAATCTCATCTTTGCTGGTATATGCAACCCCATTAATGTCTTCCACTATTAACCTCACTTTCTGCACATCTTTTCTGTCTGACGCGTTGTTTTGCTGTTGAAAGATCCCCCATATGAATTGGGTTGCGGCATCTAGTGTTTGTCTCGCGTAATCTGTGCCTGTTTCATTGTTAAAGCGTACGCCACCAGCCATTGCGAGGGCGGTGTTGATGACGGTGTATTCTACTGCCTGTGTCGCTTGCATACCAGCTAGGAATGTTATCAAACAGATGACGTGCATAAGGTTTGAAGCCATGTGGGTTATATTTTAGGAGGAGATGAGGTTGGGATCTTCATAAGATCAATGGAGATTGAGTGGTTTATATAGGAAACAGAGAAGATGAGGAAAGGATGAAGAAGGTGACCGTTTCTCTTCACGCAAATGATCGTCTCCAATAATGGAAGCTTGCTCAATTCAGAAATGGTTAAGAGGCCGGCTGTAGTCTGCTTTGACCCGGACAATCATTTTAAAAAGACGATGTGAGAGGTTGTGAAGTTTTTGGTCAAATTTTCCCACCGATTACAAATATAGAAAGACACAGTTTTTGTTGTATTTCTTATAGATCATTCTTTCAATATTTATTTTAATCTTAACAATGGTAATATTTTTCTTTTAATCTTATTTTTGTCAAAAGACTAATAAAAATAATATCTAGCTAATATTCAATTATAAGTGGGTCTTGTTATGTTATTTCCTCTAGTTTTATTTATGAGTCACTTTTAACATATTCACCATGAAAAAGAAAAATTTTAAACCTTATTAATTTTATATAAAGATTTAACAAGTTTTTAACATTATCTTTATTAAATATACATACTTTAAAATAAAATATTTTAATATTTAATAACATTCTTAATATTTAATATGGATAAAAAGGTAAAAATAGATGCAATAATAATTATTAAAGTGCCCTTTAAATATGGCCAAAATAAATTTTCTCTCTCTACCTCATAAATAAAACTAAAGGAGCACCAAATTTGGAAAATAAGCCTATTTGTTAGAAACTTGTTGGCAATGGCTTCGAGCACAAGTATACATTTGGAGCAATTTAAAAAATTTTAGCGATTAGAATTTTTTTTAAAATATAAAAAAGCAATTAGCCTATACTTTTAGTTCAACTGACTTGTCTACTAATTTATTTTTAATGCGCTAAGACTAATCTACTGGTTACATATATTAATATTATACCGTATTCTGTTGTGAAATTAGAGTGGTTTTCAAGTTTTCATTATTTCCAAATATTTGGGTGACTAATTCAAATCTTTGGACACCTCTTTTCCCGGATCTCTAGGATGATGACACAGTAGTGAGGATCTTGACCTTCATAATCGATCTCTTTTTCTGGTTGATATATGTTTGTTGGATATGGATAACGGCTTCCTTTGCTTCCAAGAAAAAATGACAAGCCAAACCTAACATTTTTTGTTGTGTGTGTGTATACGCATATGACACGTGTATGCATGCATGCATGTTTTTATAGTTGATTATTTGTTTGCTCACATATATAAAAGTTTGCTTATATATTGCATCCAACGAGAAAAACTTGTATTAATTAACACATGCACGTGTTAATTAATGATTTTGGACTTGTTTTAATTTGATGGCATATTGGAACCTTCAAGTTTGAATTACAGCTTGAAAGGGGGAGAGGGTGTTTTCATTTTCCTTCTCTCCATTTCCCTTCTTTTTCTTCTCATCACTTTTGGGTCAAAACTTTTTAATAGTTCAAATTTACATGAAATATATAAATAAAATATTATAATTTTGAATTACTTAAATTAAAATTTAATAGTATAAATTTATTTATACATCTTTATATAAAATTAAAATAATAATTTTACCAAACATTAAACTTGAACAGTTGAAATTTTTACCCAAGAGTGATGAGAGGGAAAAGGAGACACCCTCTTCCCAAACGGCTTTGGTTTGAATTATCTCCAACTTTTTTCTAAGTTAATGTCGATTTTAAAGATTAGTCCAGCATTCATATGTATAATTAAATAAATGTAATGAATATATGGAGAATAAAAACACTAGAATCGAGACTCGAGATAGGAATAATTATGGGATGTAAAATTCATGTATACACACACACTCTGATATACACGGGCGCATATATTATAATCTGAATATATGAATTGATGAGAAGATGGATCTAATCAAAATAAATAAAGTAGTTCATTTCATGGCAATCCTCGGAAGCACCCATCGCAAGTCTTCATCTAGTGCAGCGCAATCGACGTGAAAGCCAAAAACTCACCCTTACCCACAAACCTTGCTCATTCTTGTAACCAAAACTCTCCGCCCTTCCACGATCACCATTTTCCCCAAATCGGCCTCCAATCACACCTAGCCAGAGGCAACGCCCCGACACACTCGGCCTGTGCTGACAGAAACCCTCCAGGATTGAGGGAAGGGTTGAAACTCGTCGTCTATTTCCTTTTCTTCGATCACCGGCAACGATGGAGCTTCCACCATATCCTATCTTGAAAAGCTTTCACACGAAGAGAGAGAGAGAGAGAGAGAGAGAGAGAGAGAGAGAGAGGGGAGCGCGTGGGCCGAGATGAAGGAAGATGTTCAATAGTAGTCATTGAAGGGCAAAACGAAGAAATAAATTAAAACAAAAATAAAAAAATCAACAAAGAACAAGTGTAGAACGGAGAAATCAAAGTAGTGCAGCATAAGTGTAGAATGAAGAGATCAAGCGGAGCATGATGAACAAGGAAAATAGAAAGGGCACACCTGGTTTACAAGCACAAATTCAAGCCGGGTTCTGTGGAAAAGATGCACAAAGACGTTCAAAGTTCAGAATGAGAAGAATGGAGGGAAAAGATATACGATGAAAAAGAAAAATGGAAGAAGACAGTCGAAAAATGTATAGCCACATAGACAAAGCTTCAGTCAAAAGATTGGTCAACAAATGTTCGTCTCTTCAAAATTAACAGGAGGCCTTGAGTGCTTCGTTTTGAACAGCTAATAATTTATTTTACACTACCTTATAACATAGGCTATTTGGTGATTCTCAAAAAATAGTTTATGATTAAATATACACCTTTACACTATTCTTAATACTTTGAAAATAATCTATTAATGGTACTTATCGAACTATACACACACATGGATACAGAGTGCGTACAGAGATCAACTAGAGAGAGTCAGAGACAAAATACCCAACAGATGTGAGAATATAGAGTACCAGGAGGTCATATCTTCAGCTGCTTCCTTGAAATTAAAGACGAATTGATGCCACGGTTGGGCGTTTTTTTCTTTTTTTAGAGAAAAACTTATATTTTTCAAGTATTATTAATATATGGAAGTTTTCTGAAAGAAACATTGAATATCCTTACCTTCTAGTTAGACCAATATTACCTTAAAGTTTAAAAAGGATGCAATTTTGCCCCACCATTAATGTTGTCTAACATTTGACCGTTACTTTTTTTCTTACTAAATGGTTTACACACGTCAACCCCTCCCTCTCCCTTCTCCCTCCCTCCCCCCTATCCTCCTATACCTTACTCCATGTCCATTTGCTCCTTCGCTGACTCACTAAATCAAACCCACCATTTTGTTGAACTCACTTAAACTATGGAACCTGATTATACAGTGTAACATTCAAGAAATTTAAGCATAATTAATTAGGTTAATGGGGGTGATTAGTCAATGATAAGATATGTAGCTAGAGGAGTCTAATTAGTGTATTTAATTGTGATTTTAACCTAAAATGCGAGTTCGAGCAAAGTCAAGTTGGGCATGGGAAGAAGAAGAAAATATGAAGAAAAGTCCTCTATGCCACATGCTGCGACGTGTGGATGATTTTTCATGACACATAGAGGCACTCAGCACAAAACTAGACCTCTCTGTGTCACGCGCCACAGTGAAGAGCAGTGTGCGCTGTGGCACACGACTAAAAATCTAGCTTTATTAGTTTGTGTTTGCGTGTGAAAATAGAAGAGGAGGGAAGGAAAATGAAGAACACAAAATTACTCTTCTAGGGCACACAACATTGGGACCCTTAAGGACAGTTTGAAGCTTTCCAATACCTAAGGTAAATATAATGTACTTCTTTCCTTCCTTCTACTTCCATTTTTTAGAAGAGTTAACTTAAGGGTTGAGTTAGGAGATGGATTTTCGATCTATATAAACTATAGGTTCGAATCCATTGATTAAAATAAATATAATAAGAGTTGTTTAATACATCTAAATCCTATATTGATGATTTTATGAATGGTTAGTTGGGAGGAGCCATAAATATCTAAAATTTAAAATAAATGGAGTTGTTGGGAGTGTTTGATGTTCATTTATAATGGTTTAATGATTCATTAGTGATAATGTATGTCAATGAAACCTAATAAACCCATTAGTTATGTTTGGGTGTGAGTTTATGTTTTGGAAGAAAGGGGATATGTGGAGTTATATTATTGAAAATTACTAAAGATGGGATAATAATATTATCCTTGTGAAATTAATTGTAGAGTGACTCTTTTGACACCATTCAATCTAATTTAAAAGCTTTGGAAGTTGATATTATGAGGAATAAACATTTGACCTCTTAAAGGTTTGAGATAACTGAGAGAAACCTAAAGTGTATAGTTGTATGTTAATTACTTAATTGTTGATATTTCATTATTTGGAACTTATTTGATGTTAGAAAACTAGTAATGGAATTTTTGCCAAAATGATGAGCTTATGAAATGATTTTAGAAATGGAAAACCTTATGCATGTCACACCTTGTGATTGTTAATTTTTGATTGATGGCATGTCATTGTGAAATTGATAAAAATGTGGTATTTGGAATGTGCAGTAATTTGAGTATGTGAGTATGGATATGTGGATTCATGTAATATGAATGGTTGATTAGAATGCGTGTGTGAGAGATATGTGTACATAGCATGATTATTGGCGGAAGTTCACCTAAAGAGAGGAGTAGTTGGTAAATTCACATGGTATTAGCAGCAACCGTTGAAATCGAGAGGTAGTCCTTGTCTCATGATTGATTCAGGACTATCTCACTTATTCTATAAGGAACTCAAACCTAACTAGTTTTGACTGTTTTATGAGAAGGCTAGATTAGAAGTACAACACCCTATGGTTATTAGTATTAGGAGAAACCATGATACATAAATGAGTAAGTTAATTCTGGCCTAATAGCCCCTCATAAGTGGAAGACTAGGTTAATCCATGAAGGACAATCTACATAATAGCCACAAGTTTCATGTTAGAGGTAACAAGAGGATATAAGGCTGACATTTGATCATGCATTTAAATCTGGCCACATGATTGTTATTATTGTGGTCCAACATGTGTTAGGAGTGCATGATTGGTATTATTATGACCCCATGATGTAATTGTTGATAAATATGAATATTGTGATGTAGGCTCGGTCACATAATTATTAGTGTTGTGAGCTGTGGCCATACTTGTC